AGCATCCATTTTCCATTCTGTCAGTGCTTTGCTCCAACCTTTCCAATCAAAATGTTTTTTCACAAAGAGTGTCTGGGCCTCAAAAACCACATAAATATAGTCACTCTGTATTTTTCAAAATTTGTGCCTAAATTAAATGTTAAGACACCCTCACAAAGGGAAGGTTGTGACGCATCATATATATAAACCTTAAACCTGGTCAAGCAGTTACAAAGTTGAGCCACTAGAGTGTACAAAAATACCACTCAGCAAGCACAGTTCTTCTGAAAAGCATTTCACTACATAGATACAGGACTTAGGACTGGCCCTTGATCCCCCTCTTTCCAACCTGTGACATGATGTCGAAAATATAATATAATCTGGCCCACAAGATTATTATAATCTTAGTGGGCGGCTGTGGCGCAGAGGCAGAGCGGGTCATCCCCTAATAGGAAGGTTGTTGGTTTGATACCTGGCTCCTGGTCCCACATGTCAAAGTATCCTTGAGCAAGATACTGAACCCCAAATTGCTCCTGATGCTGTGCATCGGTGTGTGAATGTGTATGAATGAGTTAGATTCTGTTCGATGGACTTTGCCATCACTGAGTGAATGTGTGTGAAAGGGTGAATGTGCCATGCAATGTAAAAGCGCTTTGAGTGGTCAGAAGACTAGAAAAGCGCTATACAAGTACAGGTCCATTTACCATTAGTAAAAATATTTACATGATTAACTGTTTATCAGAGTGATGCCCTGTGGGTAGAAACTGTTCTGTTAGTTTTGGTGTGTGCTTACCATACGGGAGATGTTGGAACAAGGAGTGATATTACATATATCAGAGTTTTGTAAAGGTTATTTTTATAATATTTTATGTTTCTTGACTGTATTTTTGTCTTCTGTGTCGTATAGATGTCGTTGGGCTTTGATATATGAATTTAATGTCTACTGAAATCTGAAACACACACAACTGACTAACACACTTTCACAATGGTTCACACACATCCTCTGTTAATGACGTTCCTCTAGCCTCACTCCTCATGTCTTTTTAAATTTACACATACAGTATCTGTGGAAAACCCCGCCATTCAGCAGCCCAGGTGTACAGGAGTAATGAAGGGTGGAGAAAAAAGACAGCATGAATTAGAAGTGATGAAATTATCTGCCTGTTAGTCCCCAGGCCATGAAAGTTGGTGACTCGTCAGAAAGCAGAAACCTGCAGGACTGCATTCCACGCTAAAGCTTTTCTCCCCAACACGCTGTGGAAACAGGGCGTGAATGCTGTTGTGAAATTTGGGAGAAAACACATGGAGATTTTCCACTGGCTGAAACACATTCCAAAGGCCAGTGTTGAATTGGATTTTAGGAAAATTGGTTGCCGACATCACCGTCTGCCCACGCCTACTTGTTCACCTTCTTCCTGATGCAGCGGATAGGCTATACAAAAACCTTTACTCAGATTTACTCAATACTACTGCATAGATAAATGCTGTCTGTCATCACTATATCATCTGTGGATTACCATCAAAAACTGTAATTAACTGAAATTAAAGATGCTTTTTCGTACTCTGCTTTTGAGGAAATGTATAAGCTGTTTTTTAACAATACTAAATAAAAATCCAACTGAATTTTTTTTTTCTTTCAGTAATAATTTCTTTCAAAACACTGTAGTGCAGTGGTTCTCAATTATTTTCTGTCATGCCCCCCCCAGAGGACAGAAATTTTTTCACGCCCCCCCTGTATTTTAATACTATTGAGAAACTGATAATATTTATTTATTTATCTGTACAAACCTGTACGTGCCACATTCACCCAGTGATGGCAAAGACCATCAAACAGATTCATACACATTAACACTGATGCACAGCATCGGGAGCTATTTAGGATTCAGTATCTTGCTCAAGGATACTTCGACATGTAACAGGAGGAGGATTAGTGGACGACCTGTTCTTCCTCTGAGCTAACAACAGACTCTCCTGTTTTAGCCTACCTCACGTCGTGTCGTGAAAACCGCAGACTTCCACACAGTCAGAGAGAGTAAAAGTGTGCATCCTGCTCTTAGTTCAGTTATAAAATCCCAGTTTACCACGGAGCGTCAGCCAAAGAGTTAGTCACAATGGACGGCAGTAAAGGAGGTTGAACCTTCACAGACAGTCAGCACCAGAGCATAGAGTGCTGGAGCAGCCGATGTCAGGCGTGCCACTGCTCTTCGCTTCCATCACAGTTAGTTTTGTGGTTTATGGTCATTTTGCGTCTCAGTTTGTAAAGTTCTCAGTTTACTGTGGAAGAACTTGACTGGTCTTCGCCTCAAGCCCTCAGCCCCACCCAACACCTTTGGAATGAACTCTGCCAAAAGACGTCATTATAATCCAACATCAGACACTGACCTTACTAATGCTCTGCTGGTAACCTTGCGAGGCAGCTGGATTATGTTATATGGTTCTTTAATCTGATCGGTTGAAGTTCCTCAGGAATGGACGGTGATGGACAGATGGGTCATCCAATTACCTGCCAAGTATTTTTTGAAAGTTCCTTCCCTTTTCCAAACAGTGTCCAATGACGACTTCCCAGATGGTTCTGTGTAACACATCTGATGCAGTCAGGTCACTGAAGCAAATTTCTGCAGTTAGGTTCCAAGATCTTGTGGAATGCCTTCCCAGATTTTACATGGCTGTAATATTCAGATGTACACATACTTTTGATCACATGTTCTACCTGATTGATTTTTACCCATATTTTACCCATCACTTGCCTAACGTGTTTATGGTAGCAACAGTAGAATGTGTAGTAGAGTGTTGGTAGTTGATCACCAACCACTAGATACCAGCAGTGAGCCACATCAAGCCTCAAGGGTGCAACACCTTAACAGAGCTCTTAAACCCCCTTCAGATTGGTCGCAGCATTTTTCCAAATGCTGTGTGACACCTGCAAATTCTTTCAAATGTTCTGTTCACAATGCATGCAGTATGTAAATAAATATAATGCCAGATTTCTACTCAGTTGAACACCTACAAAATATTTTGGATATAAGACAATGCTCTCCACCACCATCACCATAACATCAAATAATATAATTAGGGCTGTTAACGCGTTATTTTATCTCGCATTAACACTTTTTTTTTACTATTATTATTATTTTGAAAGTCCGTTGCTCCTGGCTCTGAATACACATCCAGACAAACCATGGGTCACAGGAGGGGAGTAGAGGGAGGCTTTGGCAGACTACGTTGGATGCAGCGTGTGGGAGAAGTATAGATAAACAAAAGCAGGACAAGCTAAAAAATGCCATAGCGAAGTGGATAGCTTCAAACTGCAGGCCGATTAGTATTGTGGAAGATAGGATCGCAACAAATGACGGCACACGTTTTGCTTGCACAGCAGTGGAACGTTTCAAATAAAGTCAGCACACTTAGCACAGAAAGTGCAAGACTTATTTAAACTGCTACTGTGTAAAGGGAATACTGCTGTTAAAAAGCAACTTATTTATAATTATATAAGTGTAAAGTTGTGTATTAGTGCAAACCAAATGTTATTGGACTTTTGTTCATATAGCAGTACTTTTAAAATAAAAATGTGCAATACACTACTTTTGAATTCATTTTTGAATTAATTAATTGCGATTAATCGCAGAAAGTCATGCGATTTATCGTGATTAAAAAATGTAATCGTTGCCCAGCACTAAATATAATATCTTTTATCTTCTATTTTACATGTCAGTAGCTGTCTCTTTTTTTTTGTCAAAGCTTTGTTATATATATAAATATATATACACGATCTGACATAACATTATGACCAATGACACTGAATAACACTGATTATCTAGTTATAATGGCACCTGTCAGTGGGTGGGATATATTAGGCAGCAAGTGAACATTTTGACCTCAAAGTGGCAAACTGCAGCACTTGCAGGGGTGTTTCTGGTCTGCAGTGGTCACAATCTTTCAGATGTTATCCAAAGAAGGAGAAGTGGTGAACCGGAGACAGGCCATGGGTGGCCAAGGCTGGCCCATGTGGTCAGATGCCCCCGAGGAGCTACTGTAGCCCAAACAGCTGAAATGGTTAATGCTGGTTCTGAAAGAAAGGTGTCAAAACACACAGTGTAGTGGGAAGCTTGTTGTGTATTGGGCTGCGCGGCTGCAGAACAGTCAGGGTGCCCAGGTCGTCTTAATGTTATGGATGATCGGTGTATATATATATATTATAGGTATATATATATATATATATATATATATATATATACACAGAGAGAGAGAGAGAGAGAGAGAGAGAGAGAGAGAGTAATAACAGATACAGGTTAGGCTGATTGCATATCAGGAAGTAACTTGGTGCAGTGGAATAAAAAGCAGCTTGATAAAGTCACGGTCAGGCTTGGCCGTTGACTGATAAAACTGTCTGTCAACACAGTTGGCTTTTTGCCGTCATCACTCTGTGTGTGGCTATTTTTAGAAGTTGTGACTTCAGTCATCCACAGTCTCCCCACCCCCTTCCTTGTTGGAGTGAAAGGTTAGTTCAACACAATGTAATTCTGATGCTGCTGACAAAAGAAACAAATACTTTAATACAATAACTGTTTGAGACTTTAAGAAAAGAAATATTAAAGAGAAATACAAAAGAAATGGAAAACCTTGTATATTTTTGGGTAAACATGCAAATATTGGGTTATAGATTCCACTCTATAAAAAATGTAGAAAAACAAAAAGCAGTTACTGAAGCAGATAAAATTCCACTTCAGGTTTAACTAACTGCTTTTATGAATTGATGCTGAGTAAAGGTCCTCCAACATGTTAGGACCCTTTTATCTAATTTCCAGTTAAAGAATAAAACAAAGTTAACCCAGTCCAAAATAAAAAATATAATCTAACCTCAACTGATAGGGCGAAAGAGTTAAAAAAAAAATAGCAGGGCAGGTTTGTTTTGTTGATCAAGTTCTCAGGAAAGTGGAGGAGAAGGAGGAGGGATGGAGGTGTGACCTGCTTTGGGTGGAATTCCCCTGAACTCACCTGAGTCCGTCCCACAGTGCTTTACAAGAGTACAAAAGCAGCACAGGTTAAATGCAGTAGCAGGTGCAAGTTTGCCTTAGAGACAGAGGTTACACAGCAGAGGGGAGCACTTACAGTTACATACACTCACACTGCGGATTGTCTTGGAGCGTCATTCCTGTGTTTCCTTTTGTGGCCCTTGCTGTAATCAGGTAAAAGACAAATATTTAATTAAATGTTAGATGTTTGAAATGTTAGTCATGTTTAGAAGTGATACAGATTTGATAGTAACAAAGAAACGTATTTATTAATGTGACCCCTCTTTAGCACCCCTTCTTCAGTTTTGGTGTGTAAGTAAGTATCTTCCTCTATCTTTCTCAGTGTCCCTATGTCGTCACTGTGCCTCAGCAGTGTCCTGACTCGCGCTAACCTCACCATGTATCAGACTGGTATCCCTGATGTTGTTCCCCAGCAGCCCAGTGTGCTTCCCAGCATCAACACCCTGCAGATCAGCACTCCAGTATACAGCTCCAACATGAGCAGTAAGTGGAACTGCTGTCATGACAGTCATATCTGTCTTATCATTGTTGTGTGTGTGATCTCTGTGACGCCAAAGAAATTAAAATTGTTTAGTCCCAGGACTGTTTACCATTATAGTCCAGTCTGGGTTTCGTTTGTAGTTTCAGGTAAAGACTAATCTCACAGTAAACATGATCCTTCATTTTCAAACTCCAGCCAGTGGAACCATTGGCAGTCTGAACTTTGCTTTGACCTCATTTAGTCGCTGCTAGCCCAATCATTTACCCAGATAGCCAATGTTTAACTCGCAATAACCGTCAAACAGAAGAATGCTGCCACCTTATAGTTGAAACAACACTGCCTTTGTTTGTCTGACCTTAGAGACACAAATCCAGACTGGGTGATGATGCAGACTGGTATCAGTCCACATTACTTAGCTAATTGTTTGTGTAGTTAAGATGTATAAACCAAGATCAAGATTTTATCTGCTGACGTCCTGCCTCTCTCCCTGCAGGTCAGTGGTACAGGCACATTAACCCTCACTACTGGACAGCAGAACACGTCCTGGAGTGGATCAGCGACCATGTAGAGAGCACCAAGTTTGATGCGAGCACCCTGAGTCTGGCATACTGCACCATGGATGGCCCCGCCCTCTGCCAGATGAGCCGGGACCAGATGATCGGGGTGTTCGGCTCGCAGCTCGGCCCACACCTCCACCAGAGCCTGCAAGAACACAAGACTAAATATGGTAAGACCACATCTGCTGCGTGGGAATGATTTATAGAATATCAGAGCTGAAATATGTAGTTAGTTATATGAGCACTGGTCCAGTTGATTTTAATAACCGTTTTAAAGGGACTGTGTTTCTTGAATAAAGTTTATGGCTCTAATGTCACATTTTTCATCCACTTGTTACCGTTTGCTCTCCAGAGCTGCAGAGCCTTTCAGTTCCAGAGCTGGATGAAACCTGCCAGCTCCTGGACAGTTTCCTGGACAACCTAAACTTCCCCTTGCTCAGCACCATTAGAATTGGCCAGTGTATGTATTGTATAGAGAATTTACATACTAGCTTAAAACTAATGTTGTGTGGAAATTATAGCTCTAATGCTTCTGCTTACTACCAACAGCTGAAGAAGCAGTCAGCAAGAGTGAGTTTGACTACAGGGACGATTATGATCTGACCAGTCTGACCATGGGAGACACTGAGTACCTGTCTGATAATCAGTCTGACAGCGAGTACAGCTCCTCCTCCAACAGTCAGTATTTCATACTCATGTTTGTCATTTTTGCTATAATTTTTTCAACTCTTCTGAATCTCAGTTTCTCAAGAACCTCTCAAGAATTCTGTATAACTTAAACATATCTCTTGTGGATTCAGGTGGCATGTTTGGCTTCCCAAACCTCGACTCACCCGAGTCTGGCAGTGGTGAATCCGACCCGGAGTTCTCCTACCCTCCAATATCAAGTGAGTAAAGTCATTGTTTACCATTATATTGGTTCCTAGCATTCCACAGTCTCAGCATGACAGTGAGCTTAAGTAAATGACTGACAATGAACTCTTCTGACAGAGGTGAACATAAAAACAGAGAAAGGAGAGTCCCGACTGAAGCGACCACGGGGGCGACCTCCCAAACTCAGCAGAGAACACAGCAGCAGCATTTATGACAGTTCAAAGAAAAACAAACACGGTGAGGCCATGTTTGAAGAATCAGCATGCTGTATCTTTCATCATGTAAAACACTGCTCTAAAGGCATCTGTACGTGAACAGTGCCAAGCTGTTTCATACAATCTAATTTGCATCTTTATCAGACAGCAGATGCATATCTATTTGACTTGTACGCTTAAGGCCATAAGCTCACTGTGCTGCACTGTCCATCCGCAGCACCTCGTGGCACTCACCTATGGGAGTTCATCAGGGATATTCTGATCCACCCAGAGAAAAACCAGGGCCTGATGAAGTGGGAGGACCGCCGTGAAGGTGTCTTTAAGTTTCTCAAGTCCGAGGCTGTGGCTCAGATGTGGGGCCAGAAGAAGAAGAACAGCAGCATGACATATGAGAAACTCAGCCGGGCTATGAGGTGAGTTCACGGAGCAGCTAATAGGGAAGAGTTTGATGTGAATATTTCAGCTGTTTCATCAGCATACCACCGTATCTTCCTGAATCTCGGCATGTATAGACATGTAGTTCAGATGTCTGACATTGTGGCTAGGCCTAAAACAAACAAAACAGTGAGATGTGTTCTCTTCTCTATAATTACATAGATGTTCCAACACAGACAGTGTAGCTTTACCTTATTTGACCACATGTAAATGGATTCTCAAGTGATTTAGTAATTCACTTCGAGATATCATGCCTCATTCTAAGTATGTGTCAAGCTCCAAAAGTGTTAGCTCACACATTTACCATTTTGCCACATGGCAGACAGAGTTTGTAACGTGGATCTACAAGCCAAGTTAAGATAGATGAAAATGTCAGTTGACAAAGCCACAAAACACATTAAAGAAGTGTTCTGACTGTAATTCTTCCTAATGTGGTTACCAGTGGAAGAATATTATAAAAGAGACTGCTAACTACTTTTATTCAGTGCTTTAAATGAGTGAAGTGCAGCAGGTGACTTGTGTCTTAAACCTTGACTAATTGACCCTCACCCTCAGGTATTACTATAAGAGGGAGATCTTGGAGCGAGTCGATGGCCGGAGGCTCGTTTACAAATTTGGAAAGAACTCAAGCGGCTGGAAGATTGAAGAGATGAGTATGGGTATATAGGTATCAGTCACAGAGGGGGTAGAAACTAAAAAGCCAATCAGAGCAGTTGTTCAGGAACTAGAAATACCTGTGTGGCAAGTCTGAAAAACCTCTTGCTGTCTCAGATGTTTAAGACACTAACTTCCTCTTAGCAGGAAGGTGTTGCAGAAAATGTAAGCCAGTGTTTTTGGCTCTAGTAGGTTTTATGAACCAATATTATTGTTGTACCTGTTTTGTGTTTTTGATCACTACAGAAACTTTACTATGTGCATAGTTATCAAAATGGACATTGTTTTGGTTGTGAGCACCTAGCGTAAACCCTTTACAGTTGTACAGAATTTAGTCTGGCGTTTGTATTGAAGTTTCTTTACTAATTTGTCACCACGGCATTTGTTTTGGTATACGGGCATTTATGACTGTATTGTGGTACTGGAAATTCGATATTCTTTTTTTCTCTACTTTCGTATTGCTGTCTTGTTATTCGAAAAGGGTAAAACATTTACCATGTGTTTTTCATGTGAATATTAAATAAGTTGTGGATCTGAATACAGGTTTTGAAAAGTCTTCCACTGTTAAACTCTGCAGGACAAAGACAGAACAGATTAATGTAGGTGATGCTACTTTGCATTAACACAGTAACAATGTGCACTACATGTTTATCGGTATCACTTATTATAAAGTGTGTTTACACAATGTTTGAGTAAAAAGTAGTAACTATATCACAGTCACGTATCCTATGTATGATCATCACATGTAAAAACAGTTTCTATGAATCAGTCAGAAATCAGTTGCACGTGTGATTGTTTTAAATGTACACTGTATGTCTTTTGAATAAATCTTGTATCATGTATTCTATTTCTTAATTAATGGCATATTGTTTTCATAGAAATATGTTTTTTAAAGCAGGGATGCTATTGTTATGTGTGTAACAGGACTGAAGATATGAAAATGGAGTGGGCTGATGATAAGATAAGAAATGTTGATACTGATACTGAAAGAGACCCCATGTTGACTTCTTTCATAGCTGTATGAGCAGGAAACATAATCATTTATTGAAATTGTCGGAAAACACATTGCGGGAGAACCCTTATTTACAATGGTGCTAAGGTACAGACATAAAATAAGAGAAGACACTACAATTATCAGAGAAGCAACAAAGGGAGATCTATGACTAAAACAAGATTAAAAAATTACAATGTTAAAAGGATGCAGCAATTGACAGAGAAACAAATAAACAATAAAAACAGTAAAAATTATTATTGCCATCAATACAATTTGCAATTAAATTATGGAATTGTCTCAGCAATATTAATGAGGTCATCTTATCCTAAACATAGTAATTAATTTAAATTCAGTTCAATTCAATTTTATTTGTATAGCGCCAATTCATAACAGAAGTTATCTCAGGACACTTTTCAAACTAGAGCAGGTCTAGACCGAACTCCTTATAACATTATTTACAGAGATCCAACAGTACCACCATGAGCAAGCACTTGGCCACGGTGGCTAGGAAAATCTTCCTTTTAAGAGGCAGAAACCTCGGACAGCCCCCGGCCATAGGTGGGTGGCCATCTGCCTCGACCAGTTGGGGTGAGAGAGAGAGAGAGAGAGAGACAGAGAGAGCCAGCCAGACAGACAGAGAGAGAGAGAGAGAGAGAGAGAACAGAGATAACAACAGAAGGACGGAGACAGAGGTGGAGACAAAGGTGCACAGCAACAACAGAAAGCTGATCATGCTGCGCTTTTTAAATACACAACATTAACCCCATATCATAAAAAGAAAACTTGTCTGATGCTTCTACGGCCATTTTTTTGGCATTTTGTTGGATTGAAAAAAAGCAGAGACAGAAAACATTGAATGGACTCGTCCTGGAGATACTGTGGTTATATTCAATTCAATTCAATTAAATTTTATTTGTATAGCGCCAATTCATAACAGAAGTTATCTCAGGACACTTTTCAAATAGAGTAGGTCTAGACCGAACTCTTTAAAACATTATTTACAGAGACCGAACAGTACCACCATGAGCAAGCACTTGGCGACAAGGGCAAGGAAAAACTGCCTGTTAAAAGGCAGAAACCTAGGACAGATCCTTCGGCTCTAGGTGGGTGGTCGTCTGCCTCGACCAGTTGTGGTGAGAGAGAGAGAGAGAGAGAGAGAGAGAGAGAGAGAGAGAGAGAGACAGACAGACAGACAGACAGACAGACAGACAGGTGCACAGCAACAACAGTATTGGCAATGGCAATCTAGCAGGACCATGGCAGGAGGCTCCACCAGGAGCCTGCGAGACGAGAAAGCACAAGAACTCCGGGGAAGAAGTGAAGTTAGTAACATGCATTAATGGGACATGAATGAGTGCAGAAAGAGAGAGGAAGAGAGGAGCTCAGTGCACCATGGGAAATCCCCCGATAGTCTAGGCCTATAGCAGCATAACTAAGGGATGGTTCAGGACTCACCTGATCCAGCCCTAACTATAAGCTTTATCAAAGAGGAATGTCTTAAGCCTACTCTAGAATGTGGAGAGGGTGTCTGCCTCCCGAACCACAACTGGAAGCTGGTTCCACAGGAGAGGAGCTTGGTAACTGAAGGCTCTGGCTCCTGTTCTACTTTTAGAGACTATAGGAACCACAAGTAGCCCAGCATTCAGAGAACGTAGTGTTCTAGAGGGGTAATAGGGTACTTTGAGCTCTTTAAGATATGAAGGGGCCTGACCATGAAGAGCTTTATAGGTGAGGAGGAGGATTTTAAATTCTATTCTACATTTTACAGGTGCTTTTATATGGCGCTTAGGACACCATAATTCCCTTCTGGGGACCTTTTTTAATTGCACCATCTTTCGCTAAATTTAACCAAGCTTTGAGCTGTCTAAACATAGCCATAAAACCTTTCCATAACCACTAAAATGCCACTGTAGTTAACATGAGCTGATACTGTATGAAAATAAATGGAATATTACTATATTGTCAATGCATGTTTTTAAGTATTGACATTTTGTAACATTTCATTCAAAACAAACCCAGCTAGGGACCTCCATTATGACGTCATCATTCTCTATCACCTTTAAAATGTTAAATAAACTTCAAAGTGCAAATACATTTATGAAAACATGATTTATTTTTTGTTTTGCTTCAGTGGATCTGACAGACTGTTCATAATATAAATATATTTTATATGGCTATGTAATGTGAACTTATCAACTGCAACATGTTTGCAGCTAGTATTCTGAAATGAGGAAAATGCATTTATATAATGCTTTAATTCCATAAGACTTCACACAAACAACGATAGAGGCACAGCTGTAATGCAATGGCAAATCTGTGTCTTGTGATCAAGGCAACTTTGACATGTAAAAGGTAAATGGAATGGACCTGTACTTGTATGGCGCTTTTCTAGTCTTCCGACCACTCAAAGCGCTTTTACACTACATGACATTTCGCACACATTCACGGCAAAGCCCATCAAACAGAAACTACCTCATTCATACACATTTACGGCATCGGGAGCAATTTGGGGTTCAGTATCTTGCTCAAGACATGTGGCACTAGGAGCCGGGTATTGAACTAACAACCTTCCGATTAGGGGACGACCTGTTCTGCCTCTGCGCCACAGCTGCCCACACGTGGACAGGATGAATGTTGAATTAACAAACACTGGATGAAGATAATTAAATTCATAAATAAAATAGGCCTAAACCAACATACAGAGTTATTACATACGTGTATAATTAATAACACTTTTTTTTAATTAATACATGCAGGCAATAATTCTACAATTCATCTTTTGAATTTGCATGTGGGGAATGATAATAATATGGTTTCATCTTCACATAAAAAGAAACAGTGTCCCTCCACTTTGACTTGTTTGAACACCAAGCATCATTGATGGGAGTCCACCCCTACTCATCCTGCTCTCTGTCGGCTCAGAACACAGTCCACCTGTCAAGGATATGTGATGTTGATGGAGCAGCTCTCTATAAAGATGTGGACACAATAGTCTCTCATTTCCCATTGTTTGGCCAGTCCAATTTCATTCAGACATTAGCCAAGAGCAGCCTTAAGTCCAGGTACCCTTCATCTCCCTGTGGGGCGACAGCACGCGCTGTGGTGGAGCTGGTTCCACCTGGCTGATCTGGCTGGGTGGATCGTCCTCAAGGTACACTGCTCTATAATCCAAACCCCACGCTTACTTTTCTGTGACATTTCTGTCGTAGTTAATTTTTGTTTCAGGAATAAGGCCAAAAACAGATTATAAAAACAGGAAATCTAAAGGAGCTAGCCTCATTCTATTATGCCCATAGCAACAAAGCATGAAAAAAAACATTTCCATGTTAATGTCATGCATTCAAAATGTATACAAGTAGAGAGGCATCTCCACTCCCTTACTTTATTCTGCACAACTTTATATAAATGCCATGTTACTGATTACTACCTTTGGTACTGAATGCAACCATTGAACATAAGTTACCAATACAGAACAGTTGCATATGAGTGCAGTTTGTGGGAGATGGAGTATACCTTTTGGGGGTTGAACTAGAATGCAGTCTGAGGTGATCTGGAACAGCAGGGCTTCAACGGGATCATCTTTAACTGGCTACAGCAAACTAATAAATGAAGAGAACAGATATCACACTGTGCATGACAGAGTCAGTTTCAGTAATGCCATGCACCAACAGTGATCATGAAACAGGTCCCCATATTGTAGACTAACACTGACTGCAGTATGGTGCCATTAAAACCTGCACAACCTGTTTATTAGAATGGTTTCACAAAATACCAGTGTTACACAATATAATGCAAGTCACCTTTAACTGGCACTAATGGTAACTGCACACCTGATGGTATTATGAACCACATAGCATGTGTCACTTTAGTGTGAGGGTCAGCATGCATGAGTAAAAGACAGTCTGTGCTGATAGACTGTGCAGGTGCACTGTGTGTGTGTAGTGTATTTGCTAAATGAGACAGCTCTGACTGCAGACACACTATCAGTCTACCATTGTTAGATTTCTAATCTTTAGCTGCAAAATTGAGCTTTGTGGTTCACACACTCTGTTTGACACAGGCAGTGGTTTCTGGTTTCAGTCCTGGGTACAACAGGTCTGGCCTGTTGCAGATGACAGGGCATGATACCATCTGGATGGCTTGTCTGTTGTGTAAGAACTTCTTTTAGTGCCACCATTCAGTCCTGTCTTCCAGTGAAATACATTTCTATCTGATCTGATCTGTTCTGAAGAAATGCAGGAACTACTGTAGTGTGATGTTTATATCTTGCAGCAAAAAGTAAGAATGTGGAGAATCAGGGTGGTAAGTGCACACTGATAAAATTGTATTGCTTGAAGCTGGGTGACATAATGAACACTAATTTGACATTAAGTTACAGTAACAGAGTTTATGCAATGAGACCTACTTGTACTACTAAAGTTGATGAAGGCATTCACACTGCTGTTATTTTAGTGTCCTTCATGTACTCATTTACTTCTATCTATCAGAGCCAGAATGCATGGAAGTGATTGTACATTGGTTGTGTTTGCAGATGTTGCTGTCTGTGAAGCCCATGTGTTATATTTTGTGAATGGTGATGTGCAGGACGTTGTATTAAATTAGTTGAACTTTTGAGTTGTGTGACATGAAAAACATTTCTTTTTTTTTTAGCTTTCTGAAATGTTATGTTTAAATATGCAAAAGAGGTATTATCTAATAAAATGCAATATTTTGGCACTGAACAAAGCCAGATTCCATTTTCATTCATATAAAGGTTTTTACAGAGGAAATTTTATCATAGTCACAGTCATAAAAATAAGAATGGGCTGTAAATCAGGCTATGAATGATATATGAACAAAGCCCCCTGC